ATGGAAATCTGAGTGCGGAGTTTGTCAGAGCATGAGAGGTCTGAGTATGATTGAGTCTGAATGTGATGAGCCTGAGAGCGAGTGAGTCTGAATGAGTGCGTCCGAATATGATTGATCATGGTATGGGTGAGTCTGAGCGTCAGTCTGAACATGAATGAAGCTGAGTGGCTTGGTCAGGGTAAGCGGATTTGAACGAGAGTGGATCTGAGTGTGAGCGAGTCTGAGGGTGAGTGAATCAAGTGTGAGTAAATCTGGACACGAGAGAACCTCAGTATGAGCGGGTCTGCGCATGAGCGAAGTCGAGTATGAATCAGTACTGGTGTGAGCGGGTCTGCCTGTGCGTGGTCTGAGTATGAGTCTGAGTTAGTCTGAGTATGAAATGGGGGCGAGGAGGGGGCGCAGGTGGCACAATGATAACAATAACCCCGTGATTCGGGTATGCACCAGACACATGTGGCGATCCCGATGCTCGCCGGACCTCTCCCAAAGTGCGCTCTCGGGTCAGGCTCCCGACGCGGCCCCAGCCGCGACGAAGGCGCCCCGGAGGCCCAAAACTGAAGGGTGTACTGGCATCGGCCTGCTTCCACCCACACCCACCCCGCGGAGCACGACCCTGCAGCCCGGACTGCCCAAGAGCGCCCAGAGCGTGCACGGTTTCCCCCGGGGCCGTAGGCGACCCGAGGAGGAGGAGGAGGAGGAGGAGGAGGAGGAGGAGGAGGAGGAGGAGGAGGAGGAGGAGGAGGAGGAGCAGGAGGAGGAGGAGGAGGAGGGGGAGGGGGAGGAGGAGGAGATGGAGGAGGGAGGAGGAGGAGGGGAGGAGGGAGGAGGAAGGAGGAGGAGGAGGAGGAGGAGGAGGAGCAGGAGGAGGAGGAGGGGTCGCCTAAGCCCCTCGGAGAAACCCTCCACCAGCGCGGCCCTGCTGGGCCAGGCCTCGGCGGGCGCTCCGCGGGCCCTCGGGCGGCCGCGCTCCCACGCAGGGGGGGCGGGCGCCCGCGGGCCTGTGCCCGGCGGCGCACGGGGGCCCCACCCCGGACCTCCATCGCTCGTGTCGGAGGGGGCAGGGGCCGTGTTCGCGGTGGCCGTGCTCGAGGAGGAGGAGGAGGAGGGAGAGGATGAGGAGGAGGAGGAGGAGGAGGGGGAGGAGGAGGAGAGGAGGAGGAGGGAGGAGGGGGAGGGGGGAGGGGGAGGGGAGGGGGAGGGGGAGGGGCCGCTCTGGGGCTCCCGGCGGGGCAGTGAGCAAAGCGACCCGCGGGGGGGCACGGTCGGGGCGTGGACCCAAGGAACCTGGAATGAGGAACGAGGCCCCCTCTTTCCAGAAGTTGAAATTCGATTCCCCATCGAAAACCTGCGGAAAACCCAAGGGAAGCTGTGAAACAATCAAGGAACCCGGAGCCCCTCCCCAACGAAAAGGGCTCCTTCTTCAGGACCCCAACTGTAAGGAATTGCCCCCCCTGTCAAGAACGGTTGGTCGAGAGCCCCGGGAGGCACGTGCGGCGAAACGGACACACAAGACATGTGAGGTCACTTTCTCTCTCTCTTTCTCTCTCTCTCTCTCTATCGCTCCCTTTGTCTATTGTTCAGACGGTCTCCCCGCGCAGCACGCATGCACGCAGCGAGGAGGATGCTGGGGTTGAAAAAAAACCCAGCATACCCCTCGCTGCGCACAAAAAAAACAGTCAGGGACACCCGCAAGCAATTGAGACCCACCTACGTTCCGCCTGCGCTGAAGGTGCATGAGCTCTGTTGGCTGATTAACATGTATGCGTGTTGCGTATGACCCAGAGGGGGTTCTCAATTGCTGGCTAAGGCCCATATTCTGCGGCGCCTACGGTGGGGGCTCTTCTCGGAGCCTGCTGGACGTGACGAGCGCCCGGAAGAGCCAGCGTGTGAAGGTCCGCGCGAGTGGACCACGGCAGGTTGACGTATCGATGACGCGGGCGGTGGTTCCGACACCGCGTGAATCGGCCAACCTCAAGCTATCGCGGCTTCCCGACGGCACTTAGAGTCTGACATCAGCCGATTTCGGGCCACTGGCAGCGTTCAATCTTGAGCGCCCTCACTGGGACCGCCGTCGCATCAACGCGGCGCGAACATGCTGTAAACGGGACGGACGCGGCCGCCCCACCTGTAAAAAAACCTGTCTGCGCCAGGGCCCGAGGCGCCACTCAACAGGAGGAAGGCCGTGTCACGGCGACAGGTGAATTAAGCCCGCCTGCACTCATCTTTAAAGCTCGGCCGACAAGCATCGATGGAGCTGCTGTACCCTTGCCCGAAGACGTCATATTCTACGACTCCCCCGCCCTCATCCACTCCCCCCTGGCCCTCTCTCCTCGCCCGGCGAGCTACACACGCACCCAACCGAAAATGAGATTCGATCAGCCAGGGCGTGAAGAGTAACGCGCCGTGAGAGGGACTCGAGCAACATCGCAGCGATGACGGCGGGAGTCGACAGGAACCCCACGGAGGAGGGCCACATCAAACCGAGGCAGCTACTGGCTTGGCAGGATCGCCCGAAGAGACAGGGAGAGCGAGCCAGAGCGCCTCGCGGCCTCCACGTGGGGGGCCGAGCGCTGCAATGAGGAGTAATATACACCGATCCTGGGCCAGGGCCTGCACGACCAGTATCTGTCGACGTGCGGAGTCCAGAAGAGGAGGACGAGGAGGAGGAGGACGAGGAGGAAAAGGAGGAGGAGGAAGAAAACAAACTCCAGCCTAGACGCGTAAGTCTGCCCATCGACAAAAACAGGGAGGAGGAGGAAAGAGGGAGGAGGGGCAGGAGGAGGAAGACGAGGAGGAGGAGGAGGAAGAGGAGGGGGAGGAAGAGGAGGAGGAGGAGGAGGAGGAAACTCTCCAGATTAGACGCTTGATTCTGCCCAAAGACTACTTGCTTTAAGAAAAGAAAGAGGAGGAGAAGGAGGAGGAGGAGGAGGAGGAGAAAGGTGGAGCAGGAAGAAGAGGGGGAGGAGCTCCATGCATCTGACTAAGAGGAGGTTGGAAGGAGAGGAGGAGGAGGAGGAGGAGGGGAAGAGAAGGAGGAAGACGAGGGGGAGGAGCTCCATGAAATCTGACTCGGAGGAGGTTGGACGGAGAGGAAGAGGAGGAGAAGGAGGAGGAGAGGAGGAGGAGGAGGGGGGGAGGGGGAAGACAGGACGAGAAGGGAAAGGAGGACGACGAGACGCTCCAGCCTAGACGCTTAAGCTCGCCCAACGCAATAACACATGGAAACAAGAGAGGGGAGGAGGAGGAGGAGGAGGAGGAGAGGAGGAGGAGGAGGAGAGGAGGAGGAGGAGAGGAGGAGGAGAGGGAGGAGGGGAAGGAGGTCCAGACTTAAGCTGCCACGGGGTGCGACCCCATTACATGCACGAAACAATGGGGGGAGCGAAATCATACAAGAAAGCAGAGATCAAGGAGGGGGTCGTGGGCAGGGGCTTCAAAAATTTCGGGTCTTGGCCACCGCTTCTGAAGCATCTGCGTTCCGCGCGGGCTGACCCAGCGAAGTCGCCTCCTCCCACGAGAGCCCGATAACAAAAAATAGCCCTCGCTCAGCGCCCAGGTTCTTGGATCCCTGGGCGCCCCGCGCCACCTGGACCAAGGGCGGGGCAGGGACGAACGAGGGGAAAGAGGAGGAGGAGGAGGAGGAGGAGGAGGAGGAGAAGGAACTCCATGCATCAGACTAGGAGGAGGAGGAGGAGGAGGAGGAGGAGGAGGAGGAGGAGGAGGAGAAGGAACTCCATGCATCAGGAGGGAGGAGGAGGAGGGAGGAGGAGGAGGAGGAGGAGGAGGAGGAGGAGGAGGAGAGGGAGGAGGGAGGAGGGGAAGGAGGTCCAGACTTAAGCTGCCACGGGGTGCGACGCCATTACATACACGAAACAATGAGGGGAGCGAAATCATACAAGAAAGCAGAGATCAAGGAGGGGGTCGTGGGCAGGGGCTTCAAAAATTTCGGGTCTTGGCCACCGCTGCTGAAGCATCTGCGTTTCGCCCGGGCTGACCCAGCGAAGTCGCCTCCTCCCACGAGAGCCCGATAACAAAAAATAGCCCTCGCTCAGCGCCCAGGTTCTTGGATCCCTGGGCGCCCCGCGCCACCTGGACCAAGGGCGGGGCAGGGACGAACGAGGGGAAAGAGGAGGAGGAGGAGGAGGAGGAGGAGGAGGAGGAGAAGGAGAAGGAACTCCATGCATCAGACTAGGAGGAGGAGGAGGAGGAGGAGGAGGAGGAGGAGGAGGAGGAGGAGGAGGAGCAGGAGGAGCAGGAGCAGGAGGAGGAGGAGCAGGAGGAGGAGGAGCAGGAGGAGCAGGACAGGACAGGACATCCGCATGTGGGGGTCAACGTCAAGACGCCCGCAAAGGAACTGCGGGGTACGACTTGCGAAACCCCCTTTCGGAAATACTACGACACGGACCCAGATTTCGCATGGGGCCGGCAGGGGGCTCACCCCGATGCTGTCCGGGGCGAGCTCCGAGGAGGCCCCGTAAGAGAGGCTCGCTACCTTGCGAGCACGAGTCCCTGCGGGTCAGCGCGGGGGAGGTGGCTGTTGACCCTCTCGCGTGCCCATTCCACGGGGAACGCGCTGGGCGAGCAGGGCTCCCCAGCAGGGGGAGGACGACGACACGACCTCATTCAACGACGCGGGGAGGAGAGGGGGGGGAGAGAATGCAGGACGCCCCTACGTGCCCAACTTCTGCTGGGGGGGGGGGGGGGGCGAATTACGATTCTACATACGTCCTGCGCTTCGAACAGAACCCCTCCTTCACTAGAGTCACTTCGCTTCCTGGGCGCGCTGGTTGATGGACGAGCCGTGCAATGTAGTGTCCGACACAAACCCTGCGCTGCAACACACTGCATCCAAATTCTCTGTAGTAGTCAAAGTGAACCTCTGAAGTACCCCCTCCAGTCGGCGTGTAACGAGGGGCGAGCAACAGCATTAATGTCACGGCGTGTGAGAGGCCTCCATATCTGCGATACTGGTCATGTCCCACTGTCCTTCCACGAGAGGAAGGGCCCATTGGGAAAGCTCTCTGGCGGTCTCTGCAGGGCCCTCGTTTGCCACTCGTCGTCCCCGCGGATTTGTGTCCATCTGAATTCGTACCTGCCGGAGCTCCAGGAAAAGACGCGTATGTCGGTGTAGGCTCTGCTGGCCTGCACTCCGAAATGCCCTCACCAGCGCAGCCGCAAGCGCGAGCGGGCACTCTCACGCGCGGCCGCTGGAGCTTGCCGCTCCACCTGGAACGGCGCACTTCTCGAGAACCTCGGCGCCGTCGAGCGGGGTGCCCGTGTTCTCGCGCAGCTCTTGACGACGCTGGAACCTCTCGGCATCATTATTCTCGATCTTCTCGACGGACTGCAGCTCCCGTTCGGGTACGTCCATGACGCTCCGCAGGTTCTCCAAGTCGTTCTACGCGATCCGCATCGCAAGCTCGCACCACCTGCGCGTCGAGAACTACTTCCTCCCTGCTGCTTGCCGCACGTCCACCGGGTACTTTGCAATCAGGAGGAAGAGAAGGACGACGACGAGGAGGAGAAGGAGAAGGGATGAGAAGAGAGGAGGTGGGAGCAGAGAGAAAGGCCCAGAGGAGGTGCCGCCCGCAGGAGTAGTTACTCATGGTCAGAAGCTGGGCCTTCCCGCGCTCGATGGAACTGCCGAAGCTGCGGCCCGGAGCGGCCAGGCCCTCCTTCGGCCAGGCACAGAGCGCAAAGGTGACCTCTGCCAACGGTGACCATTGTTGCGCGCCTGTAGTCAGGGCCCCGAAATCATCAGGGCTGGGGGCGGTCAAGGGCAACTACAAGAGTTGCCCCAGACCGTACGTATCCCAGATAACTCGGGCGCCAAACCAATCACGAATCATCAGGGCTGGGGGCGGTCAGGGGTGGCTGCTGGTTCGCGCGTCGGGGGCCCGAACTTGAGTTACCCTGGACCCGAGTCATCCCAGATAACGCGGGCGTCCAATGTGGGGGGGGCCAAATCGAAGCGCGCAAGCAATTGCTGGGGGGCCCCAGTGGGCCAGCAACCAAGGCCACTCCAGCGAAGGGTCACTCTCACGCGCGGCTGGGTCCTCAAGGGCGGCCCGCCGTGTGGGCTGCGCGGCGGCCCAGGACGAAGGGCTGGAAGTCCGGGTCGCGCACGCGCCTCAGGCGGGAGCCCTCCCACCTCTTACGGAATAAGCATCATCTTTCGGAGTTGCACTCGGATTGCTTGGAACGGCACTGGCCCCCCCCCCTTCCCTGAAGCGCGGAGCGCGCCCGGGGCGACACCAGAGGCGCCGCCAGGGGGGTCCAGCGCAGATCCAAGAGATCCACCTGGGTTGTCGAATACAACTGCCGACCCTTCCCTCTGACCTGCACCCTTGCCCTTGCGCCTCGAGGGCAACCCCTTGGCTGTGTCGTCGTGGTGGCGGTGACAGTGGTGCCTTATATGCTGTGGTCAGCAGGGGCGAAGGCGCCGGGGTCTGGCAAGACGAAGCCAGGACGAGGATGAATTCGGTTGAGGATAAATCCATAGTATCTGAGATCCAGCGGCTCTGGAGGATGTCTCGGGCGCCGCGGCCTTCTCAGGGCATTCCGGAACGCATTGGAACGGATTTATCCTGGTCCTTGCCCCGTCCGATCTGGGCCCCAAGCCTACGACAAATTCGAAATATCCGCGCGCACATCTGGAATTCAATGTTTGTGACAGTTTCGTATTGCACCTCCGACCACCTGCTGATATTCACGGCCAGGCCCTGCTGTGTGGCAACGGAGACGTCGAGCCCACGCGCGCCGACCGGGCGGCCCGCGCACGTCGGGCGCCCGTGCCACGCCCTCTGGAACTCGGTGGCCACCTCACTGGAGACGAAGTTGAGGAAGGCGTGCCCCTTGGTCTTGCGAGAGTCGAAGTCCCGGGGCATGTAGAAGAAGTCCACCCTGCCTGCAACACACTGGTTGGTGGGACACCCTAGCTCTGGAGTAGACCCACTAAAAGGAATGGCTACTCAACATATGGAAACGAATGCGGTGCCGCGTGATCAGTAGCAGCCCCAGCGGCACACCCGTGAAGAAGGTGCCCGTGAAACCGGCGCTGGGTGGAAAACGCGGTGCCCCCACGCCCCCGCTGGTAAAACTCCCCAGAACGACAATCAACAGAAACCCGCAACGGCCTAAGCGCCGCACTGGCCGGCACCCACGGAGCCCGTCCAACAACCACGCATAGAGAGAGGACTTTTACGATGTTTCCACCCGGCCTGCGAAGCCCGAGCGGTGGACCTCGCCCAGCACCTCGTGCTGGCTCACCTCACGGGGCAGGCCGCGCATCATCAGAGAGGTCACGCCCGGCCCGATCCGGCGCGCAGCCTTCCCCGCGCCCGCCTGCGGCGTTTGCTGTGGGGCCGCCGCCGCGGCCCCCGCCGCGCCCACTGCCGTGCCCGCCGCGCGCGCCGCCGCCGCCGCGGACCCCTGCTGGGAGGTCGCAGCGCAGCCGGGGCCCTCCGCCGCGGGCGCCGCCTCTCTGAGCATCGTCTGCGTCACCGATCCCTCTCCCCGACGGCGTGGCCTTGGCCCTTCCCCAGGTCCTCCGGATCCATCTTGCTCTTCGCTCCCAGGATTTAGGATCGGATCTAGAGGGTTTGGGCTCTTATGTGTAGATCCTAGAGCCAGGATCGCATCTAGAGGGTTTGGGATCTTAGTTGCAGATCCCAGGGCCAGGATCGGATCCAGAGGGTTTGGGACCTTATTTTTAGATCCTAGATCCAGGATCTCATTCTTAGATCCATGATCTGATTGTGAGATCCTAGGTCCAGGATCCTTGGTCCCACCATACTGGCCGACTTACCCACCTCTAGTTCTGCCCCATCCCATCGGGTCTCGCGGGGCGCAGCCACACCTAAGATGGTGCCGCTGGTGGGGCTGAGATGGGATGGGGAAGGCTAAACGTTAGACGATGCTGAACCTCTTCTGACTCGATGGCCGCCAACGCCGACTCGGCAGACCGCATGGCGGACTCCAAGCTGTCGGCGCCGCACGGGGTGGTGGCCGCGGCGCCAGGGGGCACAGTGTGGATCGGCGGTGAGCACTGCTGACCACCGAACGCCACGGCGGCCACCGGCTGGAGCACAAGCGCGGGGCGCGCCAGCACTGGCAGTCCGCCTGGCGGCGCTGCCTCGGCGTGGCCGCGCAAGTGCACTGGGGCCAGCGGAAATGATGGCGGCGCGCGCAGGGCTGAAGTCACAGCCGGGGAGCACGCAGCCATGCTGGCCTGAGCCGTGGCGAAGACCCTCGGCGGCGCCAGGAACGCGAAGCAAGCCACGCCTTCCGCCCAGGCCCCTGCGCCGACAGGAGCCGGGACCGCGGCACCCCTGCGGCTGCTGCAGGGCGTCCACTCGAACGCCTCGTCGTCTTCGTCGGTGTCCGGCCACAGCTCCTGCGCGCTCTCCTCGTCGAGGCCGCTCGCCTGCTCCTCGTGCCCCCTTGGGCTGCCCGGGGCCTCCGAGGCGCTGCTCCCGGGCGCAGAGGTCGAGCCGCCGTCCGAGGCGGCGCAGGTGCACGCCGCCACGCCCGGCAGGGCACAACGGCGGCCGATGCCGCGTCCGTCCTCGAGGTCGTCGGGCGTCGGCCGGAGGTGGTGGGGCGCGTACCTGAAGGGGGGCGGAAAGGGGGAGAACAGGCTCTGGGGGGGGGGGGGGAACATCGACCTGGAATCGCCGTTGTCGGCGATCCGCCCCCCCATGACGAGACAGTGCGCTCCTGGGCGGGTTGGGCCCATCGGGCCTCTATATATCGGCGATGAGAGTCGATGCGCTGCCCCTGAGCCTGACGCCCCCCCGCAGCGTCGCCCCCTGGCTCCTGGATCGAAGCCTGGCTCTCCAGCCTCCGTTCAGGACGATCTGGGCACCCCCGGAACGCCCTCGGCGGGGCGCAGCTGCTGGGGAGCGCCCCGAGGCTGGAGGGCCGCCAGGCATGGACGGAAGCATCCGAAGTCCTCGAACTCCCGAGCCTCGCCCCCTCCGAGCCTGCTCCACCCCACCCAGCGTCGCGCCCGAGTACCCCGGGTGGCTGTGGCTGCGATTGCGGGCGCGGGGCGGCTCGCCCCAGACCTGAAAGGTGCTGTCGAGGGGCGCCAGGCGGAGTTCGGCGTTGGTCCGCGCCATCGGCCGCGAGAGAACTCACCCTGGGGACGCTGCGAAAGGACCAAGGAAAGAATCGGCCAGGCGAAACTTGGCCAGGCTGAGCTCGGCCAGCTGAGCTCGGCCCAGCTGAACTCGGCCAAGGCCGAATTCAGCTTGGCCGAGTCCAGCCTGGCTCGGCTACACGCAAGAGTGCCCCTAGGCAAGAGTGACCTTCAGTGCGCGGACGAAGGGGGCGCGAGGTGGCCAAATCCAAGCGCGCAAGCAGCCAGTATCGTATCGCGCTCAGCGATCGGGGGACCCCGGTGAGCCCGCACCAAAGGTCACTCCGGCGGAGGGTCACTCTTACGTGTAGTCGACTGGACGAGGTCAGCCGGCCGACAGATGGCCGAGTTCAGCCCAGCCGAGCCTTTCCTCGCCAAGCAATTAGCTGCAGCCGAAGAGCGGGGTGATCCCGGGCACCGAAAGAGGAACTCGAGCCCAGACAGCATCGGGCGAGCAGGGGCGACGCCCAGGAAGAGGCTCCGTCGTCTTCGTCGTCGTCGTCGTCGTCGTCGTCGTCGTCGTCGTCGTCGACGTCCTCGTCGTCGCCGACGTCGTCATCGTCGTCGTCCTCGTCGTCGACCTCGTCGTCGTCGTCGTCGTCGTCGTCGTCGTCGTCGTCGTCGTCCTCGTCCTCGCCCTCGTCCATGTCCTCGTCGTCTTTATCGTCGTCGTCGTCGTCGTCGTCGTCGTCGTCGCCCGCCGCGGCGGCGACGGCGGGCGGCGGCGGCGGGCATTGACGGAGGCGGTGAGCGGCGGCGGCGGCCGCGCAAGGGCGCCGGCCGGTCCTCGGAGGGGTCCTCGCCGCGGAGGAAGAGGCCGACCTTATCGGCTTGCAGCGCCCCCCCGCGGCGGCGGCGGCGGCGGCGGCGGCGGCAGCGGCGGCGGCGGCGACGACGACGACGACGACGACGACGACGACGACGACGACGACGACGACGACGACGACGACCAACGACAGCGCCGTCGTCGGCGTCGCCGCCGCCGACGTCGCCGACGACGTCGCCGACGTCGCCGCCGTCGCCGACGCCGTCGCCGTCGTTGGCGGCGACGACGAAGGACGGCGCCCGCGGCGTCGGCGGCGACAGCGACGGCGGTAACGGAGGTTTCCGTCATTCGCGTCGGACGGGAGGCGGGGCACAGAAGGACCTCCCGCTGCTGTGGCCGCCCACGGGGCCCCCGCCAAAGGAGGGTCCCGAGAGACCCCCAGGAGGCCACCCAGATGTCTCCCCACAGACCGGCAGAGGCCGCCCTGACGGACCCAGCAGGCTCCCGAGAGGAGGAGGAAGAGGAGGAGGAGGAGGAGGAGGAGGAGGAGGAGGAGAGGAGGAGGAGGAGGAGGAGGAGGAGGAGGAGGAGGAGCCCTCGAAAGGCCCCAGAGGAGCTCCAACATGCGCCCCTCACTCCACCCCGCTCTCGCCGCGCTGCTGCGCTGGCGCCACACACCTCCCGCCGCGCGTTTCCACGACGTGCGCGGCGAGCATGATCGGGGATCGGAGGGGGAGGGGGGGAGCGGGAGGGGGAGGGGGAGGGAGAGGGGGAGGAGGAGGAGGAGGAGGAGGAGGAGGAGGAGGAGGAGGAGGATCACTGCCCATAGAAGGAGCGAGCGAGAGAGAGAGAGAGGAAGAGAAGAAAAAAAAAAAAAAAAAAAAAAAAAAAATGATAGGGGTTTCCATCCGAGGAGAACTTCTTGTTCTCCGCACGAGGGGCGCCATCTCGTGCTGGGCCCATTGACAGGAGACCCCCCCCACCCCCGAAAACAGAAACTAGCCGAGCTCGTCTGCGGCAGCAGAAGGGCGGGCGCGCCTGGCCTCCGCCTCGGCCCTGGACAGCACGACCCTGGAACCCAGGGCCCCGGCCTGACGACGATCCTCGAATCCGAAAGTTATCAGGCAAGCCTGGAGATCGAGGCGTGGAGCGGCAGCTCGCCGCGGAGAGGGTGCAGATGGCAAGGGCTACTTTCGCGGCTGCCGACACCAGCCCGACATGCACCGACCAGCGCCCATGAGTGGCCTCGGAAGGGGTCCTGGGCTCATCCAGGAGCCACCGCAGGGTCCTGAGGGTGGACAGGTTCCCGCAGGCGCTTACAAACCGCGTCGAGCGAGCCCCCTTTCTGAGCCTCTCGGGACCTCTGCGAGGCTTGCAGAGGACCTCCTGCTCCGTGCCCACTGCAAAATGACGGCAGGCCGCACAGGACTGGAGCGGATCCTTGCTTCCTGCGCCCCTGCTCCCGAGACCGAGTGGCCCGACAGAGCCCATGGCCTGAGCTCTCCGAGCTCCAAAGCCCTCGTCTTCCAATTTGGACGCCCGAAATGGGTACGGAAAGAATGGGTACAGTACCCAACAACAAATGTTGTCCCAAATCAACAGCGGCCGCTGTTGGGCAGGCGGCCTTCTGTCTCGAATGGACACAGGTCGCGGCGGCGCGGACAGCGAGTCCTGTTCAAAATGAACAGGAACTGCTGTTGGGCATTGTACCCATTCTTTCCGTACCCATTTCCGGCGTCCAGATCCAAGGCCTCGGCACCGCCGACGTCTCCAGCCTCCTGGACACCCTCGGCATCCACGCTCCCACCAAGACGGGGCAGCAGCAAGGGCAGCAGGAAGGTCAGCAGAAGGAGAGGACGGGGGGGCAAGGGGTGGACGCGGGGCCTCGGCGTATGCACGGTAGGCTTCGTCGATACGAGAGGGAGCACAGCTGTCGGCAATCGTGCCGAAGCCGATCCATCTGATGGCATCTAGCCCCTCATGGTCTTGCATTTCTAGGTCAACCATCCTGGTGGCTAGCCCGGCACTGAACTTGGCTGCCTGGGACGCAACTTCCAGGCAACAGTCGAGAAACAGAACGTCTCCTTCCCACGCGGCCCGGAAACTGGCCTCTACCTTAGCAAAGTGGCCCACCTGCTGGTTTCCTTCGAGCTCGAACTGCGACAACAGCCCATCCCGCACCTGTCGCATACTGCAATGGCTTTTCACATGCGAGAAGCGCCTATGAGTGAAGTCGTCTCTCGCGTGCACACGGCGCCCCATGCGGGCGCGCGGGTCTGCCACCGACATGGCTCCCTGCTGGCAGGCGCAGCAGGAAGGGGTGGCTTTGCAGTTCGGAGAGAAAGAAAAAATGAGGAGAGGAACACAAAAATAACAAAAAACACAATTTTCATATATGATTATATATGTTATACAAATACATATATATAAATGCATAAAAGCGGACGTGCTGAGCCATCATCACCATCGCCATCGCACAGTCCTCCTCGCCGTCGCGAGACGAGAACAAGGTCGAGAACGCAGGAGGGGGCCACGCCGCGGATCGTCCCCAGAAAACCTCCAGCTGCCGAGAAAAGAGGCACAAGGCCAGCCCAGCCCGTGGCGCGCTGCGCGGGGAATCGACCGCTGAGCCCCCGCCCGCCCGCGACGACGAGCCCGCCCTCGAGGGGGAAAGGGAGCTCGCCCCCCGCCCCCTCCCCGCGCCCACTGCCGGTCACAAACTGGGCGAGCCGCGCGCGCGCCTGGGCCGGGCAAGGCTCCTCCGGCGAAGCGCCCTCCCCCAAAACACGAAACGGGGCCTGGGCAGCAACGCCGGCGGCGCTCTCGAGCTCGGGCGACGTGAGATCGAGGCGCCGCGCCCCATGAGCGGGGCGCCCACAGCACCCGCGGTGCAGAGAACCTTCAGCCTCGCGGCAAAGGAGGCGCCCAGGGCCAATCGCGGCACCGGGTGCGAAAAAGACGCCCCCGGGCCCAGCAAGTGAGGCCAAGCCTCTGAGAGCAAGCTGCCGATGCTTCTCCCCGCCAGGCCCCCGGTCGCAAAACATCGCCTCGAGGCGGGGGCGCCACAACAGGGGCGCTCTCCATCCCTGTCTGCCCCGCAGCGCCAGTGCGCTCGCATCCGAAGCTCGCCTGGCTGCGCGCTGGATCTGTTCCGCACCGCAGGCGGGGGAGTAACATATTTTTGGTCTGCGGGGCGAGAGCGAACCTCTTCCGATAAAAGCTAGGCGGGCTACGCACAGGGGAGTAAAACATGAGACCCCACTCCCGCCCCAGGTCGCCAACCGCCAACATAGGCCCAGCCAACCTCCACCCTGCCCGCCGAGCAGGTGTGAGGAGGGCAGCGACGGGGCCCCCGCATGAGACCCGTGGCCTCTCCTCGGCAGCCTGCCTCCGACCATCGTCGAGCCGGGCCTGGAGCACTTGGCTGGGACAGCTGGACTGCCCCAGCACTTCAGCACGCTGCTTCATTTGGCGGCGAGCGAGGGGGGAAATGAGAAGGAGAAGGCCTTCTCAGAAGGCGGCGGGATTTCTCAGAAGCCCTCGCGCCTTCTGAGAAGTATGTTCTGTCTTCAGGGAAGGCTTAGAAAACTTCTCAGAAGGCTGGGGGATTTCCGAACCTTCTGAGAAGGCCTTCTCCTTCTCACTTCCCCCCCTCGCTCGCCGCCGATTCATACAATCGAACGCGGCGATGGCCGACGGGCCCCCGCGCCAGCCACGCTCGGCGCGCCCAAGAAAAAAAAGTGCCGTCGACGCCCCTCTTTGGGCAAGCGGCCCTCCGCGAGGGCTGCCACGACCCGAGAAGCCCGCGCGGGCGGGCGTCGGCCAGGCCGCGCACGCAGGAGCCCCACGGCGCAGCAGCAGACGGCCCCGCTCCGTGGACCTGCAAAAGCAGTCGCGCCCCCCCCCCCCCTCTGCAGGGCGCGCGGGCGAGGCGCCCGCCGATTCGCCGAAGGGCACCTGTCGCAGCGGGTGGGGACGCGACGGGAGCGGCCGTCAGCGGCGCCCCCCCTTAGATCACGGCGCGACTGGCCTCGGCCCTCGAGGCCCGTGTCCCGGGACATCGCACGGCGGGGCGGCAAGTTCCGTCGAACTGCCCAAGAAGCCCGCCCCGCCGCAGGAAATCCAGACGACCGCTGGCCGCAGCCCCTTCGGCCACGGCGTGGAAGGCTTCGGGGGGCTCGAGCGCTGCGACGCCTCTGCAGCCGACCGCGCGGGAGGAGACATCATCAACCACGTTCTTGAACATCACGACGGGCGCCGACGCATCGGCCTGTCGAAGGAGGGCAAGTAGCATCAATTGACTCAAGGCGGCGGTGCTCGAGCACCCCGCGACCAGATGAACCACGGATGGTGTTCACCTCGCCTGGAAGTCTTGGCCCAAATTGGCCCCCCCTCCCCCAAAAGCGTCTCCGAGGCCTCCTGGCCCGCCAGAGGCTGGGACCCGTCTTCTTCTCACCCAAGCAAAGGAATGGGATTGGCTATCTTGTCGCCCTTGGAGACCGTATAATCAGCGAATTCCTGCCGAACTTGTCTGATGGCTGCCGCATCGGACGCCGCCCTCCCGTCAGTCCCCCTGGAGAGGGCCGCCAAAACAAGTCCCCTGCCAGATGGGCCAGACAAGGCCCGAACTCGCCCTCAACCTGATGGCGTGGCCAGCTCTGGCTCCTCAGC